AGCGTGCGCTCGGCCTCCCGCGGCTCCCGCAGCAGCGCGCCCAGCGCCGCGCCCTCCAGCTCGCGCGCCGTCTCCAGCCCCATGGCGCTCGCGCTCCCGAGCCTCCGCCTGTCCTCTCTCTGCCTCTCTCTAGCTCGAGTGCCGGGCTCTGCGAGTCCCGAGCCACTTGTCGCCTCTGGGCGCCCTCGGCGGCGCCTGGGCTTAAGTACTCGCGCGCCGGCCTCCCGGGGCACCATACAAGGGCAGAGCAGGAAGGCGCTGCGCCGCCCCCGCGATCACGTGGCGCTCGGACCGGGCGGCCGGGGCGGGAAGCGGGGAGCAGCTCCTAGGGGAAGGTGCCTGCGACGCTTGGGCGCCCCTCCCGGATCTTTGCACCCCAGCGGGCAAGAGCGTTCCTGGCCGATCTGTGCTTGGGAACTGGAATTCTCAGCCACGCATCTCCGTCCACAGACCTCGGGGCGAGTGGGGCCCCCTGGCCCCTCTCCCTCTTCCCGTCCTTACCCAGGATTTTCCTCCTAGGAGTTGTGACCACAGAAATCCCTAGTGAGTGGGGCATGCGTGTAATCCCAGCACTCAGGACACGGAGGCAGGAGGGTCTCTGGGAGTTCCAAACCGACCTGGGCTACATAGCTAGAGCCTGTCCCGCCCCCACCTTACCCTCATCAAGAAAAAAACTGCCGGATGCCTGCCGCTGCAGATGATTCTCCAAGGAGGGTGGGATGCCCCCAGTGAGAGTCCCTCTTCTCACCTGCTCACAGACCCTCAGGAGGGAATCCACCCCGCCCCCCAGGAAACCCTCACTTTGGGTTTATCACAGATTAGTGGCCACATGAAGCCAGACCCTAGTCCCCTGGACCCCACCAAACTCCTGGTCTTCGGCCTAGAGGGGGCCAGCACGGTCTAGGGGTCTTTGGTGGCGGGGAGCACAGGCCTGTGACGAGCTTCCAGTTAGGAGCCGGCAAAGCTTCTTCTCCCGGGGCACAGGGAAACCCCCAGGGGCCCGGGGAGAAGGGTTTCCCCTGTCACAGGCCGGCTGTGAAGCGGAACTCTGCTGACACGCTGCCGGGCTCTCCCCGGCCTCCCCAGTGGGAATTTCAGGGGGAAGAGGGAGCACCGCGAGCCCTGCTCCTCCACGCTCTTCTTTCCCCTCCGCTCCCCCTTCTCCTCCACCCCCTCTGCGCCCTCTGGCCCACCCCAGCCCAGGGCTCCATCTGAGCAGTTAGACTGCGACCTGGGTGATCCACTTCTGTGCGCCCGCCCCCACCCAGCCCAGGTGCGGATGTGGCCAGGCCCAGGGGTGCGTGGGGGGTCCTGCCCGGGGTTGGGGCCAAGACGTGTTCGTGGGTGGCTGAACTCCCAAGCAGAGTTCAGGTGGGTGGGGACACGGTCCTGAGCTGGAGCGGCCCCAGCTGCCCAGGATTTCAGAACTCAACCCCCAACCCATGTTCTCATCTGTGCCTTTTCTAAGACCTTCCCCGCTGCCCTCCAGACCCTCTGTCCATCCCTCTCCAGCCCGTGTAGACCCCGGGCCCCCACAGAGCTCCTCTGGAGCTGTTGCGTCTGATTGTGTGCGTGGGAGCGGACGGATGCCGCTCCTCTGTTTAATGGAGCTTGGAGCTTACTGTGCAGGAGGCACAGGGAAGGCAGGGGAGAGAAGCCCCCAGGACCCTCTTGTGCCTCAGTGGCCCCCCATGGGTTCACCCCCACTGGCTCCGGGGCTGTGTTGTCCCTGCAGCTGAGGCTGGGCCTTCCCTGCCAGGCCAGTCTGGAGGCTGAGGCAGCAGAGCCCAGGACAGACAGAGCCAGGGAGTCTGGGCCGCAGATCCCACAGGCTGATAAGGCCCCTTATCCTTGGCATCGGCCGACAAATGGCTTAATGGCTGATTCTGGGGGCAAATTACAGAGCACACAAGAGGAGCGCCGGTCAGGCCCGGTCTTGCTGACCGGCGGGGCCAGAGTCACCTGCCGTGCATGCGGGGGCCACAGCCTCCCAGCTGCTCTGGGAGGAGGAAGGACCGACCCTGCTGGCTGGGATTCCTGGGGCAGGAGTGGACTCAGCGGTGTTGGAGGTCGTGTCTCTGGGGGAACGTTGGTACTGCTGAAGATCTAATGTGACAGCACAGTCTCCCGGGCCCTGCCCTGCACTGCATCTGTGCCACACATCAGCGTCCCTTCGTTAGCTCTGGAACCGCAGTTTAAGGAGGCCTGACTTGCCTGGAAAAAAGGGCTCCCCTCTGCCTCTCTCCCCTGTTCCGCACTGGGGAGCCCCCTGTACTCCTAATACCTGGGAGGAAGCCCAAGGCTGGGCCAGGAGCGCTCACGCCCTCCCGCACTCCTGTTCTAAGGACCCCCCACCTTTGGGTGCCGCCCCAGGCGGGTCAGCGCAGGATGCCTGCTTCCTCGCCACCTCCTCAGGACCCCAGCCACCAGCGCTGACCCTTAGGAGCTGGGCCGAGAGGAGACTGGGCTCTGGACACAGGGGGAGGATGATGTGGGGGGTCCCTGTAACCTGGGGTGCCCACGGCTACTGGTTCTGGGGGCGGACCCCACTCCTCATCCCTGGACTGAGAAAGGACCACACGGTGTTGTGGGGGGAGCACGCTAGAGCTTTCTCTGGTTTTGTTTTGGGCTTTTCCAGTTACAGAACGGAGTCACTCACGCTGTCAAGGGAGTTTGGGGATCAGCTTTTCTCTTTAAATTAAAAACCTGTAGGACTGAAGTGGAGCAAATGATGATTCTCTGTGTTGTTCTTTTTGGTCACCATCTATTTTGACGGCTGTGCAAATGTCAGTCATCAGCTTGGGGTTCCCGGTAAGTCCGCCCAGCCCCCATGCAGTGGGGGTTTCCCTTCCACAATCGCACCTCCCAGCGGGTCTCGCTGCGCTTTCCTTCCTCCTCCTTCCTAACCCACAGCCCGGGCAGATGCCCGGGAGGCAGCAGACCTTGTCGCCTAGTAGGCGCCAGCCGGAGATGCTCGGGACAGAGCAGTTACGGAGGTGAGAGTGACGGCCACCCCCGGCCTACGTGAAGAGTGAGTCAGGGTGACGTCAGGTTTCCTGGGCCAGGCGCCTGCCACCCCCACAGGCTCCTGCCAGGCGAGGACCCAGACACCCCACGCCAGGCTTCAGTGACAGTACTGCCCTGCACGGTGGGGTGGGGGTACATGGGGGGACCTTGGGCATCCGGCTTCCTCCCAGGGTGGTGAAGCAGGAAGCCCCGAAGACTGGTTCAGAGGGGGCTGGTGTCTGCTCCCCTGTGCATGTGTGTCACTCGTGTGTGTGAGCAGGGACACACCTGGGATGGCTCTGCCGGGGAGGCTCCCCTGGACACAGCAGGGCCTCCTGGAGGGATCTGTCCATGGCCAACACGTCCTGACCACTACCATGCATCATTGAATTTTGGGTCCCCTTCTCTGCACCTGTCCAGCAGGAGGCCCAGGGGTGCTCAGGGTGCAGAGGAGGCGCTGACGAGTTCTAAAACCCATGGGAGGAAGTCCCACCGTTTTCACATCCCTCTCCCTCAGTCCAGTGTAACATCACAAAGCCTTCCCCTGAGGCTGGTGTGGTTTAATGCCTCCCTGATACTCGCCTCTCTTCCTTTTGACAGAAGCTCATTCCCCTCTGCACTTAGTCCTTGACTCAGCCCCTTTTCAAAAAAAAAAAAAAAGAATTCCAAGCACTTATTAGGCACCGGGGATTGTTTGGGGTGCAGGGGATCTTGCAACAAACCCCACACCACGGCCTCAGGGCACAGACCTCATTGTTTCAGTAAGACGAATGGGATTGTGTTGTTCATGCCAAGTGACCCTCGTTACCCACCAAGAGTGACGATTACCTTTTGCTTTCCAGAGAAATCCTAGGTTTGTAGAAACTGCGCCCAGTCACAGAAGCCTGTTAGGGAAATAATGGCACAGACCGTCCCCAAACACCTTAAAAATTGTAACAGAGGCGGGGACGTCAGAGTTGGGACACCTGCGTGGAGACCCCTTAGGTCCTTCCAGCCTCGCTGTGGTGCCGCTCTGCGGGGTCCCCCTCTCCCTCCTGCCGTGGTCTCCCATGAAGAGAGGGGAGGAAGTGCCAGGTGAGGAGGAAGGCACAGCCCGGAGGAAAGGACTCTGGAGAGCCCATCCCATGGCCAAGGTGACAGCCCGCGAGGATGGCCTGGGGTCCCTCCTGCTCCATGACACATGTCAACCAAAAAGACCTGGGCTCGGTCCCACCCCCAGGGGGCCTGAAATGGGGTCAGAGGAGGCACCCCCTCCCTGGGGACCCCCCAGTGCACCTCTGCCCCCCCCATGGCGGGGCAGGCAGTGACGCGGGCCCTGTTGCTATGCACGGGTGGCTTGGGTGCAGGCAGCTGAGGGGGAAGAGGTTGCTGAGCCCGAGCCAATGCCAATGGCAACGCTTGAGCAACAGGTAAAGGACTCTTAGAACAGGTGAGGGTCTCTAGGACAAGAGGACTCCCAGGGCTCCTCCGTGACCAGGGCTGGGTGTACTGCGGAAAGTGGCAAAGGGACTTTGAGGCCCAGAGGAGCCAGCGACTGCTCCCTCCTCCTCCACTGACTCCTCTTCCACCATCGGAGACCCGGGGGGGGGGGGGGCTCTGGCTCCCTGCAGACCAGTGACACCAGCAGCGGCGGCAGCGGCAGTGCTAGTGGCAGCCGTGTGCATCAGCCATTGCCTTGGCGGGAGAGCGCCACGGCAACTTGCAGGATGGGCTCGGGGTCCAGGGTTCCAGGGCCACTTGCCACCCCAGCTCATCACTTCCCGGGTCCTCACCAGGCTCCCTGTTCTGCTCTGGGGACTGGAATTGCAAGTGTAAACAGGACAGGCAAGGCTCTGCCCTCCAAGGTGACCTTGCGGTGGCTGCAGAAAGCAGACAGTAACTAAGGCAGTGAGGTCATGGCAGAGTGGCAGATGCTGTGAGGGGCACCCAGAGGGGAATGAGAGAGCGGGAGGGGGTACAGGGGGGCCTCAGGCAGGGGGTGGACTTCCGCTGTAACTCGGGGGTGGCGGCCTGGCTGGGCAGGAGGCAGATGAGCAGGCTGAGGCGCAGAGGCCAGGACAAAGGCTGGGGCAGGAGCAACCAGCCCGCAGGAGTGCTCGGTGCCCAGAGAAGTCCCCTCCCCTGGGAAGCACAGTGGCACGCCTCCAAGGGTCTGATGGCAGGAGTGGACAAACCGTCAGACTGCCAC